ATATGGAGGAAATCAACAAGGCCAAGGATATCAAAGACCTCAAGGCCAATTCCAAAATCAAGCCCCTCCTCAACAAAGCTATCAAGGCAACAATTCACCGGCCCAAAAATCAAACACGGAGGAGATATTGGCCCAATTCATAACCGCTACCCAAGCCTCGTTGCGAAATTTGGAGAATCAAGTCGCTCAATTAGCTTTGAATCAAGAGAACCGTCCGCAAGGAGCATTGCCATCGAATACGGAAGATCCTCAAAAGCAAAAGTTCGAGACGTGCCAAGCTATCGATTTCAAGATCGAGAAAAAAGAAGAAATTCAAGTCAATTCGCAAGCCACTGTAGCCGAATGGGTCGAGCCAATCCCATATCCACAACGATTACTAACGAAAAAGATCGAGGTCGAGACGTGCCAAGCAGTCACCTTGAGGAACGGCAAGAAATTGGAGGAAGCCCCACAAAAAGAGAAGAGAAACACGGTAATCGAGAAGCCGAAAAAGAATGAGGAAAAAGAATCATCTTATGACGAGCCACCATCGACGGTGCCTTCACAAGTCCCTCCAATTCCTTATCCTCAAAAGTTTATAAAGAAGAAGCTCGACGCCGAATATCAAAGATTTTTGGACAAGTTGAAGGAAATTCGCATAAATATTCCTTTCATTGAAGCACTTCAAAAGATGCCAAAGTGGGTGAAGTTCCTCAAGGACCTCGTGAAGAAAAGTAAGAAATTGCAAGGGAACGAGATGATCCAACTCACGGAGCAAATTAGTGCAATTCTTACTCGGCCTCTTCCACAAAAACTCGGCGATCCAGGTAAGTTTACTATTCCTTGTACTATAGGAGGTAAAAATTTTAGATCGCTCATTGATTTAGGTGCTAGCATTAATCTTATGCCGTACTCTACTTTTAAAAATCTTGGGTTAGGAGAAATTGAACCGACGGCTATAACTCTTCAATTAGCCGATAGATCTTTAGTTTACCCAAAAGGTATTTTAGAGAATGTGCTAGTGAAAGTCAATAAATTTATCTTCCCTGTTGATTCCGTTATACTTGATATAGATGAGGATAGGGAGATACCTCTTATCGTAGGGAGACCGTTTTTAGCCACGTCGAAAACTCTCATTGATTGTGCTAGTGGTGATCTTACAATGACTGTGCATGATCAAACAATCAAATTCAATGTTTTTAGTGCTAATAAAAATCCATGTGATAATAATGATTGTTTTGCTATTGAGCTTATGGATTTTACAAATAATGAAAAGTTTGATGTTTCGATCTTGGACAATGGGAAAGCATCTTTGAGTGCAGGAGATGATGGCGGAAACGGGAATCGGACGGAGCAAGTTTATTTCATGGACTCACTTTTAAATCCTCCGAGAGAAAGTCATGCGAGTCGAGGTCTTAACGACGATGAGAATGCAAGGAAGATGTTGCCAACCAAAGGCTCGAGCAAGTCAAGAGAGAAGGATGAGTCAAGCTATTGTGGTCGTAAGGAGAAAATCAAAAAGGAATTGCACAAAGGACAATTGGTGTTATTGTGCAAATCCCCTCTTTGGTTATTTCCAAGGAAGCGCAAATCAAAGTGGTCGCGGCCGTTTATTGTCCAAGAAATTCTTCCTCACGAGGTGGTCAAAATAAATGAGCGCGATTCAAATCGTACGTTCAACATGAAGCGGAGCCGGCTCAAATCGTATTGGGGAGCGAGTGAAGAATGCCAAGTGACCTCGGTCACTTTTGCTTGAAATTAAAGAAGCAATGTCCGGCTGAAGACTTTAAACTTAGCGCTTCTCGGGAGGCAACCCGAGTTTTATTGTTTTTCGTAGTTTTCTTTAATTTTTTCGTTTCGTTTTTTATTGTCATAGGCATGCAATCTAATTAATTTATTTGAATTTTAATTTTCAGGGTCGAAAACATGGTCAGGGGGTCGAGACGGCCGTCCGAAATTGCAAGCAAAATCCCGGACGGCCGTCTGGGAAACAGAACGATCAAATCGTCATCTCTGTCCATGGGACGGCCGTCCCAAAAATAGGTGTAAATGTGGGACGGCCGTCCCACAACCAGTAACAGGAAAAAAATCTCGGACGGCCGTCCGAAAATCAGCACAAAACCCGGGACGGCCGTCCGACTATTTTTGGGGCGTTTTAACTTAAAAAAATTCGATTTTCTCCCCCATTATTTCCTAAACCCTCATCTTTCCTTCTCTCAAACTCTCACACACAAAAGGAAGCTTGCGAATCAAACAAAATTCTCCAAAATCTACTCTTTCAAGGCACGCCCACAAGGTGTTCGACAATTTGCTCCAACCAAATTTTGAGTTCGGTTGTCAACCAATTCGCACCGAATCTATTCCAACCTCTCTCCCAACTTTCTCATCCAACAAAAGAGGCCGTACGAGCGAAGCATCATCTTCCAAAGGGAAGGGAAAGGGAAAGAAAAGTGCCACCGCCCAATGAGGACGAGCGTGAGAGAGCTAGGGAGGAGCACCCCGATCACATCGACTCCGACTAAATCAGGTGTTTTCTATCCTTAAACTTTGTGCTAAATTCGTTGAGGGCAACGAAAATTTTAAGTTTGGGGGTGAAAAACATGTTATTTTTGTGCTTATTTGTTTTAGTTTGCATGCATTATGTTTTATTCGTTTTTATTGTTTTTCTCGTTTTTCCGGAATATTAAAAAAAAAAAAAAAAAAAAAATTGCTTGAGTCGAATGCATCGATGATTCATGATGATGAGAGATGATCAATGTTTGATGATGAGATTGCTTGTTTTGTGTGATAAAGATTAGATGTTTGTTTAGCTTTCGATTCAACGGGACTTAGAAACGAATTATTGCTAGGAATCACATTTTGTGCATTGCTTTGGTTGAATGTTTTGTATTTTAAATTTGGAACTAATTTGTGCTAGATCATGCTATGTTCGGTTTTAAGACTAACCTTAGGAAATTTATGATACGAAGTATTGAGTAGTGAGTGATTTGAGATATGATTTGGGCCTTCTTTGAACCGTTTGAGCCTTTCAAGCCGACCTTTTTATCGAAATTATCCTTAGAACCTTGATTTGAGCCTCGGAGTAAAGGTGTTCTTTATTTTAGCCAATGTGTAAGGTAGAATAGGTGGATATTCTTGAAAAAATTATCCCTTGGAGTTCGGTCGAAATATTTTATAAGGTCCTTCTTCTTCTTCGAAAAAGAAAAAAAAAAAAAAAAAAAAAAAGAAAAGAAAAGAAAAAGAAGAAGAAGAAGAGACTAGAAGGGAGAAATAAGGACTAGTTGTTGAATTATTTTTGAAAACTCGATCCATTGCCTCAAAAGCAAAAGTGGAGACTTTTGAACTTTTGAGAATCGAGTTTACTAAAGTCCGTAGAGGTGAATTCATTGTTTCAAACGCCTATCTTTCAAATTTTGGCGTAATCACCTAAATTCAAGAAGAATAGCCGCACATACCCATTTTTCCTACCTCGAACCAAAGAGCCTAACAATTGAAAGCCACAAAGCCCCAATGATCCCAATAGCTTAATGTTCGATATTAGTAGAGTAGAATAATTCGGTGAGTATTTGGAGTCAAGCATATGCATGTAAGTATAAATTCTTTCTATCTTTAATTTGCAAATATTGGATGCTTGAAGCAATTGTATGAATTGTGGTTTTTGGTAATGGTGAGTGACTAAGTGTTGTTGAATTTTGAGCTTGCGAATGCCTAAGAATTGTCATTATAATTTCAAGTTCTGAAAACATGAAGTTGATCATTGATCTATGTGATGAGATGTAATAGTTGAGTTATTTGCTTATTGGTAGATTTTGCTTGAGGACAAGCAAAAGTTCAAGTTTGGGGGTGTGTTAAGTGTATATTTTTACACTTTATCGTATCTTTTTATTTGAGCTTTTGGTGTGTTTTAACGATAATTGGTGCTTAAAAAGTTGATTTATTGTATTTTAGGTACAAATTGAAGAATTGGAAAAGTATGGGGTCAAAAATGCAATTTTGGCAAAAATATGGGCCAAAAGTGAAAATATCAAATTTCTGAAGATTTAATGCTGAGACCCCCGTCCCAGTTTTAGGGCAAATCGTGGGACCCCCGTCCCAGAATCCGAAGTTGCGCAGTAAAGGGATTTTAATTGTACAAGGAAACTGCCTTCTTCCCCAAGTTCTTCACCCTATATAAGACCAAGCCAAGCACACAATTGGGGGTCTTTTTTACGAAATTTTTACACCACAAATCGCGAGGAACGAAGATCAATGAAGACTCAAGCATAGTTTTTCTTATTTATTTATTTTATTTTCTTTATCATAAGAATCACGAGTAGCTAAGTCTTTATTTCTCGGATTTTATTTGGAACCCTATGTGGGATTTATGAACCCAATTCTATGATTTTATGCAAGTTTTAATTCCGGATTATTTCTTCTATTTGATTTATTAAGTGCATGAACTTGATCACCTTATGTGCTTTTATGTTATTGTTAATCGCATGAATCGGAAGATCGGGTTAATAATTAGAACTGTGGTAGAAGAGCCTTTGTGGTATTAACATAGGAATATAGTTAATCTCTTAGGTAGCCATTATTGAGATTTGTGCTTAATGCGGTGTTCTAGAATTAATTGCATAGGAATATAGCAATTGAATCTAGAGTATTAGAATTGTAATACACGCGGAAGCGGGTTATGATTATTTTAGCATCTCAGGTTAATAATCCGGGTTAATTGCTTGCATAATTGAAGGAATTGGGGGAATAATAATCACATAGGGGGAAGAATAAAATCCTAGGCTCGTTTACTCTGATAAATCTTCGTTTTAATTGCTTTCTTGCTTTGTCTTTTTAATTTGCTTCGTTAATTTAGTTTATTAATCCTTTTTCGACTGTGTAGGGTGGGCTTGATAATAATTGGTAGAATTTAGCGTCTAGGATTAAGTAATTAAATATTCCCTGTGGGTTCGATATCCGGACTTTTAGTCCACTATATTACTTGTACGATACGTGCACTTGCGTGTGGGTTTTCGGCCAACAGTATACAAGATGTAATAGAAATGTCACCCTCTTGATTTATATTATGAAAATCATATGCTCAACAATTTCACTATTCAAAATTATTCAATTTTTAAATACAACTATTATAGGACTTCTAACAGAGTGATCGGCAGTATACCACCTAATAAATCCTTGAGTAGTACTATTCATTGCCTCTTTGGTTGTTCTAGTGAACGTTACACTATAGCTCGATTTATCGCCCAACTTTGGAAACACGAGTTTATGAGGTTCCACTTTCACATTAACACCGTGGGACGAAACAATCTCGACATCATATGATGAATTAGCCTTGCCAACATTGGTCAATGTTCTCGTATAAGTTTGAGGAGTTGATCCAAATATTATCGAAAATGATGGATAATTCAATTGAGCCTCAGGAATGCTCTTCTTTTTCGAGCAATCCACCTTGCACTTCACAATGATGCCGACTTCTTGGTTGGTGTAATTCAAGCCACACAAATAAGGGATATAATCATCGGGCAAGATATCGTAAACCAATCCCGGATCATTTGCCCGAGAAGGATTAACATGGCCCGAACCAACAGCAAATACACTGGCCGGCTTCAAGTGTTCATTCTCGATCGGATTGCCTTTGAGGTTGAGGTGATCGGCCGTGGTCATAATAGCGGACTTGATGGCGGCTGGCGACCAATCAGGATGCGCGCTTTTGAGCAGTGCTGCTACCCCACTGAGATGCGGGCACGACATTGATGTACCATAGAGTATGTTGAATGTTGACTTTATGTTGGTTTTATTTTCGACAGAAACGGGCCATGCAGCAAGAATGTTAACTCCAGGACCAATAATATCGGGCTTCAGAATTCCGGGGCTCACTTTATTAGGACCCCTCGAGGAAAATGCAGGCACTACTGGAGCTCGACCGCTCCCTATAACAGTTCCTTTAAACGACATTGTGGCTGTGGGATTCGAAGTTGAATTTACGTAGGCTTTTAACTTAAGGCCGTCGACGTAACCGATTTGCATTGCCGGAAGAACGTGTGGATCATCAAAAGTGGTGTCGCCATCCGATTTATAATTTATTAGAATCATAGCAGCGCCACCAGCTTTTTTGACAGTTCTTCCTTGTTCAACTCTATTTGATATGTGATCACCACTATCGCACAAAACTATCTTTCCTCTAACATCGGTGTTGAAGCGGTAAACACAACTCGACACTCGAGTGTAAAATGATCGAGGGTAAACGAGGTGTAACTTTCCGATGGAGGGAAAACCGGTGCCCGTTTCGCCCTCTAATTCCTCCCCGTTTCCGAGCATTGCGGTGGCTACTATCTTCCGGTCGATAGTGCTGGCCCCAACAGTCATAATCCACGGGGCCTCATTCGACAAAGACTTGCTCTTCGGGCCGTCGTTTCCGGCAGAACAACTGACGACAATTCCCTTCTCGATGGCCCGGAAAGCTCCTATGGCCATAATATCGTCGGGGAAACGGTGGAGATATGCACCGCCGAGGGACATCGAGAGCACGTCAACGCCGTCCTCGATGGCGGCATCCATGGCGGCAGCTACATTACTTTCGGTGCAATTGTGGTACTTGCATGGTTGATACATCGCCACGTGAGCGAACGGCGCGATTCCGGAGGCCGTGCCGCCGGCGTTGCCGAAGAATCCGGCGCCTTCGACGAAATTGCCCGCGGCTATTCCGGAGGTGTGCGTGCCGTGGCCGATTTGGTCGATCAGTGGTGGCTCGGTTCCACTGTTGTGGTAGAAGTACCTAGCTCCGATCAGCTTGTTGTTGCAGGCCCATTTGCGGGAAATGAAATCGCATTTGCCCTTCCATTTTGCAGGCGGCGGCGGCATCCCTCGGTCGGCGAGCGAGGGGTGGTCCGGCAAGATTCCGGAGTCCACCATGCCGATGATGATGCCCTTTCCGTAGCTCGAGTTTTTCCATAGGCCCGTGTTTTGGTTCAACCCCAAGAAATTGGGAGAATGAGTGGTGTGCAGATGCAACATCCTTTCGGGCCGGGCTGAGACGAAACCCTTCATATGCCGCATTACTTCCACATCAGCTGCCGATAATTTGGCGGCAAAACCGGAAATTACATGTCGGTAGCGGTACAATATTCTTGGCTGGTCAGTAGTACTATTGGTCGAGGCAGCTGCTAAATTAGTATTCGTCGGCAAGAACGAATCGTAAAACGTTTCGAGATCGTCGGATATTTGTGCATGATCAACATGTACTATGTATACATCAAGATTTTCTGCTTTGAGAAATTGATAAAAATTGAGAATGCAAATGATACATAGAAATGAAGTGAAACCCATTAATGAAAATTGAAGAAATATGTTGATTGTTTGTGAAGAAAAATAGAGATTGGGGGATTAGTTTATATAGATTGGCCTTGGAAGGAAATAAATTTCTAGGGTCAAACTGATGAAAATTGAGTAGTATACAGATAAAGTTTAAATTAAAAACATGGATGATATAAATGATAGTAAAATGAATTTAATTCCAAACTAATCCTGTGTTAATAGGAAAGACTAAAAAAAAAGACTATAATATATGTGTTTAATGGAAAATAAATAGCAAAAGGAAAAGGATAAATAAAATTGAAGACTATGATTTATAAAATGGAAAATAAATATCAAAATAGGAAAAGGATAAATAATAAAAGTCTGATATATATAATATTTGATGTTGCTCAAATGCCAATTGGGCAATCCAAAAGCCCTTGAGCCCACAAAGATAGAGAATGCCGTGAGTTACTGCCACGTGTCCGAGGTAGTCGAAGGGACTACTCCGTTCGTTAACCTACAAAACAATTGAAACACTAGATGACACGCCGGGTTTGGCCCGACAATTATCCTCTGATGCTCAAGTCAGAAGATGTATTAATATAAGCAAATAATAGAAATTAATTGCCAAATTAGAATGTACCTTCCTATGTGAAATGACACATACATTTATAGGTGGATGAATAGGTAGGACTTTTGTAAAAATCTGATGTGGGACAATGTGTTGTCATTTTTAAAGGTAAAAAGTAATCTAATTGAGTTTTGACACACAATTAGATTAATTAGGGCAATTTGGGCCTAATCTTAATTAGGTTTATGGGCCTAATTATGATTAGACACATCATTAAGCCCCCCACTTCCAAGTTGGGTCATGGGTTTGTGAGCCTAGTTGGAAGTAACATATAAGGCCTCCCACGCACTTGTAGGGTTTTTTGTTCTTGAGGTTTCTTCTTTCTGAATTGTGCTAGCGAGATTTAAGAATAATTGGCAATCTTCCAAAGGTATAAATATTTTTTGCAAATCCTCACTTTTTTATTCGAATCCTTGTGTCGTTGGTTATATTCGTATTTTGCTGTTTGGAGTCTCGAAATTGCGTTTGATAAAGGCGTAGGAATTTAATGCCGGGTCTAAGGTTGTTGGACGAGTCTAGCGACGAACTATGTGGAGTTAATTCGGAATCCGATAATTTTGAAGTTGGGAATTCGAAAAATCTTGATATCCGGGTTGAAAGAGGTCAAAATTTGGAGTCCGGGAGTACCAATTTTGTGAAATTCGGAGTTGTGAGCGAGTATGTGCGAAACAGTGTAACGGTTCGTTGTTCGAGGAAAAATCCAGTACTGGCAGCTGTGGCATCGAATTCCGTGCCAGAAAGGAGGAGGTGACGTCAGCCTTGGGAGGCGTGACGTCACCGAGCGTGGAGATCCGTGCAGCTGGGCGGTTGGGCGGGTCAACTCGGGTGGCTGAGCCAACTCGGGCAGGCGGGTCGGACCGGTCGGGCTTTGCAACTCGGTCGGGTGAGTTGACTCAGGGGATTGAGTCAACTCGGTAAGGGGAATCGGGCGAGTCAACTCGGGTGACTGGGTTAACTCGGGTGGAAGTGGGGTGTGATGTCAGCGTGACGTCACACGGAGCGGGGCCAGGGTCTGCCGCGCGCGTGGGAACAGCTGCTAGGAGTTGTTCCGTGCGTGGGGGCGCGTGGGAACAGCTGCTGGGAGCTGTTCCGCGCGTGGGGGCGCGTCCGGGTCGTCTCCGGTGCGTGCGGAGCGCGTGCAGGGCCGTTCGGAGCCCGTTTTTTTCCGCCGAACACCGTGTTTCAGCTCCCAACTCCGATGGGGGCCCGGGGTTTCGTTCCCTGGAGTTAGAATGTAGCGATCCTGAGACTTGGGCGTGGTCTCGACGGATTAATGTTTTTGGGACGAACTTTACTCTAAAAAATTTCGTGCTCCGTGGGTCGAAGAGAAGACGTGAATTCGAGGTGGACGAGAGCGTGTTGACCGATGAGGAGGAAGAATTAACCGATTTTTCCGGCGGTAGTGTTTCTGAGGAATATTCAAGAATATGTTCCGAATTAAATTTCGACTCTTCCTTTAGAGTTGGTCAACTGCCCGAGATTCTGGACTATCTACGTATCGAGCATGCTATTGAGATATTGGTTCCGTGTAAGGGGGAGAGATGTTATGCCCCTCCTGATGACTACTTTACGGTATTCCTTGCATCATTTTCGGTTGGATTCACTTTGCCACCTGATCCGGTTCTTGTTCAAATTTGTCGAGATGTCAAGGTAAGCCTCAGTCAATTAACGCCGAACGCATTTCTTTACTTCAAAGGATTTTGTCATCGCGCTGAGTCTGAGGGTTTTCCAATATTGGCGAATTTATTTCACTCCATGTTTCTTGTGAAGCCGCTGAGGGACAAAGCTCCTAATTTTCATTTTCATCCTCGGTCGAAATGCAAGTTTTTGAAGAAAAATGATAATAAGTGGGGGAGTTTGAAGGAATGGTTCCTATACGTGCGGAATGATTGGGAAGTTCCTTCTGTATGGGGTGAAGTGCATCCTGTTGAGTGGAGTAATGAACACTCTAGACTCAAAATGGATTGTATCGGAATGGGTTTTTTCGATTATTTCTTCGACCCTTTGACTTTATTTTCTAAGGGTAGAGGAGTTGTGCTGTATTGATTGCTCCGTTATCTTTCTTTATAGTTTTCTTGAAACTAATATTTTTGTATTTGCTGTTTTCGTGTTCTGCAGGTGAGACGATGAGCTATAATGATTTCAAACGTCGTTGCATGAACAATGGTTCCTCGAAGCCTGTGTCTCGAAATACACCTCCGGCCTCAAGGCCCGTGGCAAGGGAATCGGGAAGAGGCACTGCTTAGGATCGAAGTAGTGGGAAAAAGCCAGTCCATGGGGTGGGATCGTCACGTGGTCCGGAGGTGGCTGTGAAGAAGAGCGCTGGAGTTTCGGATCCCAAATCCGCCGAAATAGGTCGTCTTGCTATTGTGAGTGCGTCCCCGCTGCCTTTGAGCGAGCTCAAGTCCCCCTCCGCATCCGGGGATACTCGTGTCGCCCCTGTCGTCGCGCGTGAAAAAAGGCCTCGCACCTTAGGAGTTGAGGAGTTGGTGTTACCGCCCGTTAATGCATGGAAAGGGAATTTTGTTGCTGGTGTTGATAGGACGCAAAATGGTGGTTCGGTGTTTGACGTTCTTGAAAGCGCCTTGGCCATGGAGAAGGAAATGGGTTTCCCGACGGAGTTTGATTCAACTCGTCTTGCTGGGAAACCTTTGGACGAGATGATCGAAGGTTTGGCGTCCTCCTTTGCTCGGGTAGTATCGGATTATCATGCACCTCTATATCTGATTTATTATTACTATTAATAATAATAATAATTCCTGCTCCTTTTATTTATTTATTTATTTAGTGTAATAATATTTATTATTCTTTTTTTTTAGACTATGACTTTCGTGCCCTTGATTATTGATCGCGGGAGGGGCTTGGAAGCTGAGTATGCGAAGATGCAAGCAGAGAAGTTGAACGTTAATTCGTTGTATGCGGGTGTTCAGGGTGTCAATGCCTCCCTTCGCTCAGAGATTGAAGGTTTGAAGAAGTCTCTGGATGAAGAAAAAGGCAAGCTGAGTGCCTTGGAGAAGAAATGTCAGATCTTGGTGACACATGCGGATGAGGAAAAATCGGCTCGTTTGAAGGCCGAAGCTAGGATTAAGGATCTGAGCCTATCTTTGAAGAATGAGAAGACCGACGCGCTTTCTTTCATGGAAACTCATAAGGGGTCGAATGACGTCTTGAAGACGCCTTTGGGTTTGATGGTGGTCGACAAGTTCTTAGGGAGCGAGTCTTATATCGAGCTGCGGGATAGTTATGCTAATGGGTTTTTTGCGGAGATCGTGCGGGATATCCGCGGTCAAGTTCGTGCTACAAAGCTTGTCCCAGAGGCTATCCTAAAGGAGATAGAGCCGAGCGTTTTGGAACTTGAGCCAGAAATTGGGGCGGAGAAAATTGGCGCCCTGGTTGAGGGTGATGAGTTTGATGAGATGCCCGAGGCTGCTGGAGCTGAGAATGCTAGCGTCAACCCGACTGCCTAGTAGTGCAGTCGTTTATCAGTTTCTACTCGCTTGAGAGTAGTAGTATTTCCTTTATGAATTATTTTTAAGACTCTTGTCTTTTCTATTTTTTCTTTCTGCACGTATTTGCTTTATAAATGGAATTTTATTTTTTGTTTTATTCCCATTTCGCAATTTTCGTGCTTTTTTGGTACTTAGTGGATGATCAGTCCCCTAAATTTTTATGTAGGGGCTCCGCATTTTTGCCTTCTTTTCTTAATTTAGGGCTGCGGAGTCCTTGAGAATTTGACTTCTCTATCAACTTGTGCTTTGGGGAGTGAGATAACAAAGTTCGAGTTGGCCAGACCCTTGTGATCCTTGTTATCTTCCCCTTTAGCAAGGACCCTTTTTTTTTATTTTTTTTCTGTTTGGGAGTCGAGTGGTCACCCCTTTGATTCAAGCACTGCATAGTAATAATAAAAATACTAATGGAATTTCAATAGAATAAAACAAAAATTAACTTTCATGACATAAAGGAAAACGGTCGCAGATTAGAGCGGGCAATATGCCTCCAGCGGAAATGTTTTATTTAGCTTCATGTGGCAAGCGATATGCTGCCAACTTATTACATAATTTAAAAGCGTTGTGGCGAGCGGTATGCTCCCGATTTATTCCTTAGCTTAATCATTACAGCGAGCGATATGCTCCTTATTTATTAGAAACAAAGAAAAATTGCTCGCCCAAAGTGCTAAGCGAAATATTTCTTCAAATTCTCTATGTTCCAAGTCTTGGGAACTTGACGACCATCCATGTGCTGAAGCCGGTAAGCTCCGGCGTTGACCACTTGAGTAACTTTGTTGGGTCCTTCCCATTTTGGATCCAACTTTCCGACAGCCTTTGAAATCCCGACTCTTCGGAGTACCAAGTCTCTTACCTGAAATGATCTTGGTTTGACTCTTTGGTTATAGGCTCGTGCCATTCGAGCTTTGTAAGCTTCCATTTGCATAGTAGCGCCCTCTCTGACCTCGTTCACAAGATCCAAACTTGCCCTTATCGCCAGATCATTATGCTGGATTGAGTAGTTGGATATCGGCCATGATGGTTGCCCTATTTCGGCTGGAACGACGACTTCCATTCCATAAGCAAGATTGAAAGGTGATTCACCGGTGGAAGTTCGAGGAGTTGTACGATAAGCCCATAAGACACTAGGGAGCTCCTCGACCCAGGCGCACTTTGTTTCTCCTAATCTCGCTTTGAGGTGTTGCAAAATTGTGCGGTTTGTAACTTCGGTTTGGCTGTTAGCTTGCGGGTTTCCTACTGAAGTGAAGAATTGCTTGATTGATAGTCCTTCACACCAGTCCGCGACTTTGCTTCCGCAGAACTGAGTTCCATTATCTGATATTAGGGCTCGTGGTATCCCAAATAGGCATACCACATTCTTCCATAGGAACCGAATGACGCCGGCCTCAGCTATTTTAGCCAAGGGCTCCGCTTCCACCCACTTGGTGAAATAGTCAACTGCTACGATTAAGAATTTGCGTTGTCTACTAGCTTGTGGGAATGGCCCCACCAGATCTATCCCCCACTGTGCGAAAGGAACTGGGCTGTCAATTGGTTGGAGAAGAGATCCAGGTACATGAGTAATGTTGGCGTGTATTTGGCAAGCTCTACATTTCTTCACTAATTCTTTAGCGTCTTGACGCATAGTTGGCCAGAAGTATCCTTGACGTAACGCTTTGATGGCTAGTGCTCGCCCTCCTAAGTGGTTCCCACAAATGCCTTCATGAATTTCATGGAGAACATATCTTGCTTCGTCCGGCCCGAGACATCTTAGGTAAGGTACCGAGAAACCTCTCTTGTATAGCTCCTCCCCGATAAGTAGGAATCGAGCGGCTTTTATTTTTAATTTCCTCGCCGTTGCTCCGTCCTGGGGCAACTCTGACGTGGAAACATATTTTATTATCTCGTCCTTCCAACATGGAGTGTTACTAGTACAAAGGATTTGTGTGCCTGTTTCTATCTCGGGTTTGGTGGAATAGAGAAAAGTGATCTTCCGACTGTCGAGCTTTGACATGGAACTCGCTAAGCGAGCCAATTTGTCTGCCATGGCGTTTTCGGCTCTAGGTATTTGCCTGACTTCCACCTTCTCGAAACTTGCCATGAGGCGTTTGACCAACTCGAGGTACTTAATCATACTTTTTTCTTTGGCTTCGTATGTGCCTAACACTTGGTTTACTACTAGTTGGTAGTCACTGTGTGTAACCAACTTCTTAGCTCCAGCTGCTTGAGCTAACTTCAATCCAGCTACAAGGGCTTCGTATTCTGCTTCATTATTTGAAGCTGGAAATTCTAACTTCAGTGCGTACTTCAAAGCATCGCCTTCGGGACTTGTGATCCAAATTCCTGCTCCACTACCCCCCGTGGTAGAGGATCCGTCTACATAAACTGTCCACGTCGGTGTAGAACACGTAGATTCGTTAAAAGTCATTTCGACGAGAAAATCAGCAAGGACTTGAGCTTTGATTGCCGGGCGTGATCGGAACTCTACCCCATACTCACTCAGTTCGATCGCCCATTTGGCCATCCTCCCCGATGTTTCAGGACTTTGGAAGATTTGTTTGAGGGGGAAATTTGTCAACACCGCCACCTGGTGTGATTGGAAATAGGGCCGCAATTTTCGCGCTGCCGTGATTAATGCTAAGGCCAGTCGCTATATGTTTGAATATCTATGTTCGGCTCCACGTAGGGCGTGACTGACGTAGTAGTTGGGTTGATGCCCTCTTTCACCTTCGAGTACTAAGACCGCGCTGATCGCCTCTGACGTAGTTGCTAAGTACAATAAAAGTTCATCTCCTTCCCTTGGTTTGGTCAAGAGGGGAGGTGACGCTAGGTATTGCTTCAGTTCCTCGAATGCTTTTTGGCACTCTTCCGTCCACTTGAAATTCTTCCCCTCTCGCAGCACTCTGAAGAAAGGAAGTCCTTTGTCTGCTGAACGGGAAATAAATCGATTCAATGCCGCTAAACAACCGTTTAATTGTTGGACATTTTTTATGGATTTAGGTTGGGCCATGTTGATCAGGGCGTCAATCTTGGCCGGGTTTGCTTCGATTCCTCGCTGCGAGATCATATAGCCCAAGAATTTGCCGCTCTTCAGTCCGAAGGAGCATTTCGAAGGATTTAGTTTCATTTTGTATTCTCTGAGAATAGCGAAGCACTCTTCGAGGTCTTTCAAGTGGTTTTCGGCCTTAGCGCTTTTAACTAACATATCATCGATATACACCTCCATGTTACGCCCAATTAGATCAGCGAACATGGTATTCACTAGTCGTTGATAGGTTGCTCCCGCATTTTTTAGGCCGAATGGCATTACCTTGTAGCAATAAATGCCTTGGTCAGTAATGAAACTCGCTTTCTCTTGGTCCTCAGGGGCCAGTTGGATCTGGTTGTACCCTTGGTATGCGTCTAGAAAGCTTAACAACTCACATCCTGAGGTAGAATCCACCAGCTGATCGATCCTTGGGAGAGGGAAAGGATCTTTAGGACAAGCATTGTTTAGGTTAGTGAAATCCACACATAAGCGCCACTTTCCCCCCGATTTCGCCACTAGGACAACATTTGACAACCATTCGGGATATTGGACCGGGCGTATTTGACCAGCCGCAAGGAGTTTACCGACCTCCGCTTTGATGTGTTTATTACGTTCCGGTCCAAAAGGCCTTTTCTTTTGTTTTACCGGCTTGAGTTTCGGGTCAACGTCAAGCCGATGAACAATTTTGGATGGAGGAATTCCTTCGAGATCTTCCGTTCTCGATGCAAAAATATCACCGTTTCTCCGAAGGAACTCCACGAGCCTTGCTTCTGCTTCGGGCTCAAGGTTGGTTCCTACTCGGAGTAGTTTATCTTGATCGCCCGGGATAAACTCTACACTTTTCAGTTCTTCTACTGCTGCGAGTCTTGTGCCGTCGGCATCTTGATTTGTCGAGGGAGTGATGAAGTCGTCTTTGACAGCCATCACCCATTTTCTCTTTAGATAATTGGGAATGTCATCCCCTCCTCCCACTTGCTTTGTGTTCCGAAGTTGAGGTGCCTTCAAAGTGTTCGCATAGCATTCTCGAGCTATGCGTTGATCGCCTACGGCTTCTCCGACTCCGCTAGCCGTAGGAAACTTCAACTTCATATGATATGTTGACGGGATTGCTCTGAAAAGGTTCATACTTGGCCGCCCCAAAATGACGTTATACGTTGACGGTGCCTTGACGACTAAGAAGTTGACCGTGTTTGTCGCTCGGCACGGGAATGAGCCCAAAGACAAGACTAAGGAAATTTCTCCCACAGCTTCGACGGCGTGCCCTGTAAAACCTACTAGGGGTGTTTTCACAGGCGCGAGTTTCGCATTGGCAATCCCTAGTTTTTCGAAAGCGTCGTAATATATAATATCAGCCGAGCTACCACCGTCCACCAAAATCTTATTCACCAAATAATTAGAAATTGATGCAGAAATGACTAAAGCGTCGTTGTGTTCACCACTTGGTCCTTTGAGATCGTCGTCGCTAAATGTAACCTCTGAGTTTGGGTGGTGAACGTGGTAATATGTCCCACTGGACATTCTGTCGTAGAATACGAGCCTCTTGCTGCCCGCATTGATGCTCGTCGTGCGCTAGGAGTGTCACCGCTCGAGGGTCCTCCGGAAATAACTGCAAGTATTCCTTGAGTCGGAAGATTGTCATCCTCTTGATCTTTCCTAGGGTTGGGACGTTCTCCTTTCTGCTGGAAGCGGGGTTTATTTTGGAAATTTTGGTGCCGTGGCGCATCCACGAATTCTCCCAGGCGCCCTTTTTTAATTAGTCTCTCGATTTCTTGCTTTAGTTGGAAGCATTCGTCGGTAGTGTGTCCCCGATCTTGATGGTACTCGCAGTATTTTTCCGATTTTTGTCTTTTCGGATTTTCTTTCATCTGTCTCGGGGGCTGGACTAGATCTTTCTGCTCCGCCACCATCCATACTTCCATGAGTTTTGCTTTTAGGGGAGTAAACTTTGGGTAGGTAGGGGCGTGGATCGAACGTCCTTCTTCCTTTCTTTTTGCCTCATGGCGCTCTTCTTCGCGCTTCCTTTTCACGGGAAGTCCCATCTCTACAGCCTCTTCTATCCGGATGAACTTCTCAGCTCGGTTCAGAAGCTCCTCCAGAGTTTGTGGGGGTTGTTAAGTATATATTTTTATACTTTATCGTACCTTTTTATTTGAGCTTTTGGTGTGATTTAACGATAATTGGTGCTTAAAAAGTTGATTTATTGTATTTTAGGTATAAATTGAAGAATTGGAAAAGTTTGGGGTCAAAACTGCAATTTTGGAGAAAATATGGGCCAAAAGTGAAATAATCAAAAATCTGAAGAAATTGGCACGGGACGGCCGTCCCAAATTTACACCTAAAAATGGGACGGCCGTGCCAAATGCAGAAATTTGGCAGAAGGTTTCGGCGATTCTCGCGCGGCCGTGCGAGAATTGCACTGATTTTCGCGCGGTCGTGCCAAATCACGCTGGAGACAATTTTGGATTTTTAAACACACAAGGAAACCTAGAATCATCTACCAAGTTGGGACATCTATTTAAGCCCAAACCAAGCACGAATCAAAGGACTTTTGGACACAACCTTGGAGCGAGAGGAGCGAGAGAACGAAGAATCGAAGACGGAGAATTGACAACTCTTCATCACAATTGTTCTTTCACCTATCTTTTCTTGAATCTATGATTTTTATTACTTTTATTATGTTTTTCTTAGAGAACATGAGTAGCTAAGTTTTTAATCTAGGATTTTGTTGGAACCCTATGTAGGGATTGTGAACCCGTTTTCTTGAGATTATGCAATTATGATTTTATGATTATTTCTTATACTTGTTATGATTGTTAGTGCATGAACTTGATCAATTTATGTGCTTTATCTGTGATTATTGGGATTGACTCGACAGAGCTATTTTGATAATTAGACGGTAAGTATAGGAACCTTCGAGTAGTTTTCACCAGATGAGTGTGTCAATTGCATGTGGTGTCGTAGACATACATATATCACCTTATGAAGCCATTTACGAGACTTGTTAGTTAATGTTTTATTCATAATTTGTTTGCATAGACATATAGTGAACCGTTTATGAGTAATAGACTCATAATACACGCGACAGCGGGTTATGAGTAAATTAGTGTCTCGGGTTAATAATCATGAATCATATATTTCATAATTGAGGGGTTTTGGGTGATCAATTCTTGCATAGGAGGGAGATAAAATCCTAGGTCCGTTTTTATTGATATTTTCTCGTGTTTATTTGCTTTCATAATTAGTTTAATTGTTTAATTGATTTAATTTGACAAACTTGCGTAGGCTGGATAAAAATCATAGTTGTTAGAATTTGGTACTTAGGATTAGATAATTTGAGTATTCCCTGTGGGATCGACATCCGACTCTCACGAGTCCACTTTTACTACTTGTTTGCGATACGTGCACTTGCGTGTTAGGTATTTAGCAGCCCAACAGGGGTCGTCCTGCTATGGATTCTTGGAAGCGAACGTGCCTCAAGTTATGTTGCAGTATATCGGCTAGTAGGTCGTGGTTAACATTGGGCACCTCGTGCACTGCTTTGACGAACCGTTGTACATAGTCTCTCAACGGTTCTCCTTCGCGTTGTTTGACTTTGAAGAGGTATGATCCGGTTTTGGCGTATCGCTTGTTGATGGAATACTGGCTAAGGAAACGTTCCGATAATTGACCCAGGCCATCCAATGATCCTCCAGGCAGACCGTTGAACCAAGTTTGTGCTTGATCAGTTAAGGTAGTTTGGAAAATTTTGCAGTAAGCGGCATCACTGAGGCCGTAAAGGTCGATCTTAGCGAAGAAATTGTTAAGGTGAGTTTGAGGATCTCCGGTTTCATCGAATTGGGGCAGATTGGGGATCCTCAATCCGAGCGGTAAAACTTCCTCCATAATGGCCGGAATAAAGGGGCTTATTCGGGCGGGGAGTGTTCCAAATCGAGCAGTTGATCTTGAAGTTTCTCGTCGTGGGCTTTTCGAGTTACGTTTGTTACCATTTTCGCGGTGCCTTCTCGTCTCTTCAGCCTGAGAGTACCTACTCCCATGTTCGTCTTGTGGGGAGTTGCCTCGGCGAAAGGAACGTCCGCGATGTCTATCTTCTCGAGGCTCATGGCGTATAACACTCGGCCGAGAGGATCCATTTCTTTCTCGGCGGCCTCGCGCCGCTCTCTCCCTTGAAGGAGCCCGTTGCCTTAGGGGTCGTGGTGATCGACCATGCGTTTCTCTTCGAGGAGCCTGGTCCGAGGCTGAGCTATGCTGAAGCGACCGAGGCTGGGCATACCTTCGGGGAGCCCGTTCTGAAGAAAGGCTTTGGTCGCTAAGAGATACCCTTTCCTCAGAGTCGTGGAGTTCTACGATGGGCGGGGTCCCATGGACGTGAGCGGGTTCCGTGGGCTCTCTGAAAGAATCGGCTCTACGAAATCACTATGGCCTTGGGCGCTAATGTACTGAGCTACTGCGTCCGCCGCCGCCCAAGCCGCTGCCTTGGTCGCGGTCTCGTCCATCATCGCTTGCAACTCTTCCGTCGTCATTTGGATGATCGGCACTGAAGGTCCCGCCGTCCTCTTTCTTCGAGGCGGATCCGAGATCCCACCGCCGGCTCCTTGCTGAGGCGGATTAAGGCTACCTTGACCAATGTTTTGAAAACCGGACCGGACCGGCCGGTCCGACCGGTTCAACCGCGAACCGCGGCCATGTCCGGTCCGGTTAGATCTGAAAACCCAAAATGGTCAAAAACCCGGGTTAATCACCAAAAAACCGGTTGGACCGGTAAGAACCGGGAAACCCGCAAACCGGTCCGAGAACCGGTTTTTAGCACAAAAGGGCCGGATCTACGTCGATGGTGGTCATGGGTGACTGAATCTTGTCGGATAGGGCTGTGGGTGGACGGATCTGGGTCGTATGTCACCCGATCCAAGTGGTGGCAGCCATATTTCTCGATTGAAGAAAAGAAAGAAAAAAGAAGTGGAGAAAATAAACAATATGTTTGCGTGAAGATGTAGAGAAGAAACGATAAACTTGGGAGAAAGACAAAAAAAAAAAAAAGAAGAAGGGAAGAAGAGGAATGGGAGGCTTCTACGTCAAAATTGACAATGAAGAAGAAAGAGAGAGGCGGGAGGGGAGAGAGAGAGAGAGAGAGGATAGGAGAAAGAAAAAGAAATGAATAAATTCTTTTTTTATAAAAAGAAAGTGGACTAAAGTTGTATAATGAAGTGAAGAAAGTTGGAAGAAAATGTAAAGTATATGTAAGATATTATATTTAAAGTATTAAATTAATAAAATAATTATATTTGAAAAAAAAAAGTAAAAAACCCGGTTGAACCCCGGTTGAACCGGTCGAACCGTGACCCGATGGTGCGTCCGGTTCGATGTCCGGTCCGGTTTTAAAAACATTGACCTTGACCACCTCCTCCCGTATCACGTGATCAAGTTTGCATACCCACAGACGGCGCCAAAATGATACTGCTCAAATGCCAATTAGGCAATCCAAAAGCCCTTGAGCCCACAAAGATAGAGAATGTCGTGAGTCACTACCACGTGTCCGAGGTAGTCGAAGGGACTACTCCGTTCGTTAACCTACAAAACAATTGAAACACTAGATGACACGCCGGGTTTGGCCCGGCAATTATCCTCCGACGCTCAAGTCAGAAGATGTATTAATATAAGCAAATAATAGAAATTAATTGCCAAATTAGAATGTACCTTCTTATGTGAAATGACACATACATTTATAGGTGGATGAATAGGTATGACTTTTGTAAAAATCCGATGTGGGACAATGTGTTGTCATTTTTAAAGGTAAAAAGTAATCTAATTGAGTTGTGACACACAATTAGATTAATTAGGGCAATTTGGACCTAATCTTAATTAGGTTTGTGGGCCTAATTATGATTAGACACATCAATATTAAATTTTACTTAATTATAAAAATTGCTTAGGTTTTTTGGTTTTTTTGCTTAATTAAATACAATCAACTTAATCTGAAACTAATACATCACAAAATGTTTTTTTTGCTATATTAAACATAAAGTATGTATTTCTATTTTGTCTTTGAATTTTTTTATTTACCGTCGAAATTTGAAAATTCAATTTGAATTAAAGTCGGCGGAATTAAATATGAGGTTCAAAACTATGTTATTTGGGGAAAAAAAGAAAATAAATAGAAATATAAATAAAATTCAAACACAGAGAAAAGGTGTGAGCTCTAGATATAGAATTTTGTCCATATATATTTTGGAATTAATATCCACCTGTCAGAAATCCAATAACAGATATCTTACATAAAAGAAAAAAACACTAGAGCAACATAAGAAACACGCGGAATACGATGCTACACCTGGTAATTTTTACCGGGTGGCTCTTTTCTTGATACGTGTCCTTTTTTATTTATTTTATAATTATATTTCTAAAAATTCATTGGGCCATAACTGAACCTGTAGTGAAAATTTTATTAATTAGGGTGCCTGGTTATATTCACCAGGTGTAGCATAGAATTTCCCAAGAAACACTAATGATATATTTGTAAAATATATTATTTATTTATATATATATATATATATATATATATATATATATATATATATATATATATATATATATATATATATATATATATATATATATATATATATATATATATATATATATATATATATATATATATATATATATATATATATATCATACTTCGATA